AAGTTTTAGCAAATGTTAATGTGAAAAGCTTGCTTAATTATACCTTTCTTCTGCGTCTCCTCTCACCTCCTGCCATTGCCTCTCAGTTCACACCTACGAATAGATCCACACATAAGAATCAGACTTTGAGAACCTCAAAAATCATGGAAATTTTAATAAAGTTTGTTAATATGTATGTTTATCTACGCAAAACCGAACAAGAAAGGCCATATTTTTGTTGCGTCACAGTGAACAAATCTCTTCGCAATCGCAAAGTTAAGCATCTCGATTTGGCTTCAGCTGATTAGGTTTGAAGGTTTCTCTCAGGAATCTTTTTCTTATTGCTCTACGAAGAAGACGATACAAAGAACAGAGAAATTTGAGAAGAGAGAGAGAGAGCGTCCCAAAAAAAACGTCTCACTAATAGATTGCTGACACGTGGCTGATGAACCCTTCCAAAAGTGGGCTCTTGAAATCCTTCCCAAAGAACCGGTTCATCGCTTTTCTTTTATTTCTGATTTATTTTTAATCAAAAGATTCTCTATGAACCTCTCCTGAACCCTGCGTTGGAGATGGTCTTACAATCCAGAAACCAGGAAGATCTACGTATCTCCTGATATCAAATTCGATGAGGATACAAGGTTTTATGAAGAAAAGAATTGGAGCAAGCTAAAGGATTTGACTTCTTCTCACTCCAACCTTGCTCTCTGAAGCTTCTCCTCGACAATCTCAACTTGCCAAAGGAAGCTGAAGCTGTTCAGCCTACACCTGCACCATAATCTGAAGAGGAACATCAGCATGGTGTACCTGAGGTCAAACCTGATGATGATGAATCAGGAAGGGGGGAACAAGCAACAGTTCCAGATCATAATGACATTCCAGACCAGAATGAGGATCCATCCAAAGACTCCTATGAAGATGCCAACTCTCACGAAGACAATGAAACCTTGACTGATCCTGACGATCAAGATGACACTGGTGACAATGTTGAACAGGATTCTGATGCATATGATGATATTCAAAACGTTGAACAGCCATTCATGAAAATGACTCTCCTCCTGTACTTTGAAGAAGCACCAGGATCAAGAATGATCCCTCAAACTGGGTTAATACTCGTGTTTACTAGCTATAATAATCTTGCCTCTACTGCTGCTCATCCTATTCAAGATTATTGTTCTTTGGCTAACCTTCCTGATGATCATCAAGATTTTGTTAGCAAAATTGACCAAGTTGCGATCCCTCAGACGTATGAGTAAGCAAAGGATAGTGAGGTGTGGACAGAGGCCGTAAATGCAGAACATAGAGCCATGAAAAAAATAACACTTGGGATGTGGTTGATCTTCCAAAAGAAAAGAAACCAGTTGGCTCCAAATGGGTTTTCACAATCAAATATCACAGTAATGAGAGATCGAAAGGCACAAAGCTTGCTTGGTGGCTAAAGGCTTCACACAAACATATGAAGAAGACTATAAGGATACCTTTGTGCCTATTGCCAAACTCCATACAGTAAGAGTCCTTATTTCCCTTGCTACTAACCTCTCTTGGGATTTATGGCAAATGAATGTCAAAAATGCATTCCTTCAAGGTGAACTCGAAGAAGAAGTTTATATGAGACCCCCTCCTGGAATTGAGATTGAAGAAGGAAAAGTTCTCAAGCTCAAAAAGGCGATAGATGGTCTGAAACAATCTCCACGTGCTTGGTATCACAAACTCAGCATAACCCTCATTGGAAATGGCTTTAAAAGGCCAGAAGCTGATCATTCGCTTTTAACAGTTCAGGGGGGAAACAGGTATTGTCATTGTCCTTATTTATGTTGATGATATCATTATTTCGGGCAATGACAAAGAAGGTATTCAAAATACCAAGTCTGCTCTTAAATCTGCCTTTGATATTAAAGACTTGGGTGAACTACAATACTTTCTTGGCATAGAAGTATAAAGTTCTAATGAATGACTATTTCTATCTCAAAGAAAGTACACACTTGATCTTTTGAGTGAAACAGGAAAGCTTGGAGCCTGATCAAAGAGAAGTACAAAGACTCTCGAGAGGGGGAACCTGAAGGAGAACCCTATGACAACATCGGACAATACCGAAGAATTGTGGGTAATCTCATTTATCTGACAATTACTCGTCCTGATTTATGTTTTTCTGTGAACCAGGTCAGCCAACACATGCAAGCTCCAACAACCTACCACTGGAATATGGTTGAGAATCCTAAAGTACTTGAAGGGAACTCATGACAAAGGCATTTGGATGCAGAAGAATGGCCATACTGAAATTATTGGTTATTGTGATGCTGATTGGACTGGAGACAAAACAGACAGGAAATCAACCGGAGGCTATTGAAAATTCGTTGGTGGTAACTTGGTCACTTGGAGAAGCAAGAAGCAAAAGTTTGTGTCAAGATCAAGCACTGAAGCTGAGTACCGGTCTATGGCTGACACTACGGATATGCTCATTTTGCTTAAAGCATTGCTATTGGACCTTGGAGTTAAGACACTGCAGCCTATCATTATGCATTGTGATGCAGCCTATCATTATGCATTGTGATAATCAAGCTGCGATTCACATTGCCTCCAACTCTGTGTTTCATGAGCGCACCAAACACATAGAAGTAGACTGCCATCATATTCGTGAGAAGGTTGAACCCGAGATCATCTGCCCAGCTTACACTAAGAGTCCTGATGAACTTGCGGATATCTTTACCAAGGCAGCTAATTCAAAGGTGTGCAACTTCATTCAAGGCAAGCTTGGCTTAATTGATCTACACCAGCTAAGCTTGAGGGGGAATGTTGGAATGTGACTATTGCACTCTTTTTCCCTTATCCATGGTTTTTTCCATTGAGTTTTCCTGGTAAGGTTTTTAATGAGGCAACATCTTTGGTCCATTCAACTCTGTATTTATTATGTCACCCAGAATTAAATGCAACAGGCTCCTCTCTCTCCTACACACATAAGGGACGAAATTCAAATCTTATTCTTTCTCCTTCATGCACATCTTCTCATTTATTATTGTAACAGCTAGTTTTATTCTCTATATATTTGTATTTCCTTGTACAAATCAGATTAAGAGAAATAATATACAATTTCTCTCTATTCTCTTTGTTCTACAACTCTTTCTTTTATACTTCCCCATAGTTTTCTACAACCCAAACTTGTATTCTCTCACAGTCAGCTCTATGTTGTTAATTCAAGAGTAACATCAGGAAAAAGTTTGAAAATACTTATTACCGACAAGAAAGAAGTACCACAAAGGAAAACAATGAATTTTCTCTACAAGAAAGTTTATGCTAAAAATTAGTGCTTAATCGACATGTTTACAAAAACTATAAAAAATCCTTTTTGTTTTCATTCTTTATAATGATTTCTGTTTAGAGATACTTGTCACTTTTATATCGATTTCTGAATTAAAGTAATGCGTTGCACTCTTTTACATATTTCTTTGTTTAACAGACATTGGTTGGTGATAACACCTGATTTTGACTACTTTTATCGATCCCTTTCAGTTTCTTATGCAGGTATTTTCACTCAGTTTTAAAGATTTTATAAGTGTTTTCCATGTTTTGGAGCTTTTCAGGAAACTTGGGACTTTGGAGTGCATTTTGGAGCAAAATAACATTTTTGGATAAATTCAGGCCGTCAAAAGTTTAGCAACCAATTAAGACCTTCTCACCGTCTGATTATCTCCAAATTTGGAGACATTATAGAGGACACAACCAGATTTCCAACACATTTGAAATTAAAGCAATCCACCAATTAGATCTCCAGATAATATCCAACGGCCGATCAACACAAGTTCAGTCAAGCACGGTGCTTTCACCTGCGGCCAGCCTTCTTCCCACCGCGACTCAAGAGGTTTCACCCCCGGTGGACCTATGTCCAAACCTCAGGAGCCCAACTAAGGCCCAAGACACTTCCTGCACCTAATTTACAAGCCCTAGACGCCCAAGACTTGGAGAAAAACTATAAATACTCATTTTTAGATCTTTTGTAAGGGAGCCTCTTTCTTCTCCCTGTGGATTCGATCTCTAAGTACTACTGCGTTTGCTGTGCACTTACAGCTTGTCTAGGGTAAAACTTGTGTTGGCCACTGCACCCACATCAAGTTTTTGGCGCCGTTGCTGGGGATTTGTCGTTGTTGACTTGATTTCTTAATCTAATTTCAATCTTAAACCTCAAGATTTTTGAGTTTTGCTGGAGATTTTCTAACTTCTCTTTTTATCTTTGCTTTCTTTGCTCACAGGTGCATGAAAACTAGGAGAAATCCTGACGACATCGTATTGCCCTTAGACGAGATTGACAAACACGAAAGAGCACTTAGGAAACTCAGACGAAGAACGCTCAAGATGGCCAATCTGAATGCCCATCCGGAAGATCTTTTAAACCGTGATCAGGAGGATCACATTGGAGATGATAACCATGATTCTATTCATGGTGATGACCTAGATGCTGCCCATGAAATAGATGGCTAGCCACAACTCGATGAAGAGGGAAACCGAGTCCCTGCAAATGCCGCTCCAGCCGCTGATAACCGAAGAAGACAATACCAGGTCTATCCAAAAGAAAGAAAGAATGATGAAAACATTGTTTCACCTAATGAAGAGAAGCCAATCGACCCATACAGCTTGCCAATCCTGCGAGAAGACAGCCTCAGAATATACTCATTGCCGATTTCGATGCACCTCACCATCACTTCCAAAACAGATCAGCTATTCAAATTCCTGTTCCAATAGGAGATCATTAGATAAAACCTCAGATTGTCTCTTTGGTGAAACAGAATCAATTCTGTGGAATCTCTACTGAGCATCCCATGGACCACATTGATCTTTTTGAAGAAATACCTGGGATGGTGAGAACAACTCCAGAAACTGTAGACTATGTGAAGTGTAAGCTCTTTCCTTTCTCTCTAAGTGAAAAGCTTGTAGATGGTTTTAACCTATGCCATCTGGTTCTATTACTTCATGGGAAGAATGCAAGTCAGCTTTTTTGAACCACTTCTACACCAAGTCAAGATCGAACCAGCTGAGAAACAAGATACAAAGTTTCCAACAAGGCCCCAATAGAATCATTCTATGAAGCCTGGGAGCGATTCAAAGAGTATGAGAGAGACTGCCTTCATCATGGTTTCTCTGGAGCAAACCTGCTAAGCACCTTTTACAGAGGATTACAGAAGAAGTATCAACTTTCTCTTGACACTGTCAGCAATGGAGATTTCAGTTCGAAAACCATACCACAAGGGAGAGCACTCATTGAAAATCTAGTTGTAGCTAACAGCAACAACAACCCTGAGTATGACAGATCAAGAAGACTATCACTAGTCATGAATTAAGGGAGATCGCTGAGCTAAAAAGCATGGTAAGTCAACTTCTTAAGTCTCAAAATAAAAATATACATGCTTGTGATACTTTTGCAGGAAATGAAGAAGATGGAAGATATGAAGAAGATGACATGTACCAAGAAGAAGAAATCAATTTCATGGGAGCTCCGGCATACCATAACTGATTCAGCCCAACTTTCAACAACAACTTCAGGAATGCTGGTGCCAACTTTAACAATCTCTCATACAGGAATCAAGGAGCCGAGAACCAGCCTTATCCGCAGTAGAAAAGGAAATTTCCAAACAAGTTCCAAAATGGGAACTATGGAGGAGGAAACTTCCAACAAAGACCACCTTTCAATCTTCAACAAGCACATACCAGCTCATTAGAAGCAACCCTTTCCCAGCTAAGCAACCAAGTAAAATCGCTTGAACAAACTATGATGCAGACAACTCAAGGCAATGAGAAGTCAATCACGGAAATGGGAGTGAGGATCGATTGTATGTACAATGACTTGAATGGGAAGTTTGAATCTCTTGCAATCCATGTCAAGAAGTTGGAACATTAGATAGGCCAGACTACAGATTCAATGAAGAGACAACCAGGAGTCTTACCAGAAAGAGTGGAAGATAATCCAAAGAAGTTTTGCAATGCTATGATAGCAGTTTTGGAAGAAGAACCTGTCGCAGACTAATGAAAATTTGACACCTCTCATGAAGGAATCTAAAACCGAGCATGAGATAAGCCAAGTCATTCTGATTAAGGTACCCAAATGCTTGCCTAACCAAAGACTCAAAAAGTCTAAGGATCCAGGGCGTTTTTCTTTCATTAGTTCAATTTCTGGAATTGAATTTTCAGATTGTTTTTGTGGTTCTGGTGCTAATGTGAATGTTATGTCAAAATCTGTTACTGAGAGATTTGGTATAAGAACATTTGTCTCATCTCCAGTAAGGATAATCTTTGGTGATTCATCTCAAAAGAGGACAAATTGAATGATCCAGGACTTGCCACTGGTCATTGGAAACAAAATTATCCCAACCGATTTCCAAGTATTAGAGATGGACAAATACAAAGAAAGACCCTTGATATTTGGTCGCCCATTCTTAGCTATTGTAGGTGCTGTTATTGACCATGCAAATTGCTGTTTAGTTTTCTTAAATGTGGACAGGAAAAAAGTTATATAAGACCACACCGGATCAAGCTCCAAACCGCAAGGATAAGAGCAAAGAGAAGATGTTGGATGACAAAAAGAAACTAAAAGCACTTGCATCCAGGAAATTTGAGAAGATCAAGATAGTGGTGCCACCAGACATCATCAAGGAGAAAGAGAAAAATCTTGAAGAAATTGTTGAGAGGACAAGACATGTCTTCAAAGATGCAAAAATCTTTAAGAAAGGAAAAGAGATTGTGATTTAAGATGAAGGAGATCCAAAGTTCAGCCTAAGGATCCCAAGGACTCTTACTTCGAGAGATCCTACCTCTTTTTCTCAATCCTAATCCTGCCAAGAGTCTAGCTAAAATACTTTAAACAAAAGCGCTTAATGGGAGGCAACCCATTTGGTATGATTTTATTTTCCTTTTATTTCTTTTCTATTTGATTTTTTTTATTTTCTTTTTATGCATTTCAAGCTTTCATAAAACCCATAAAAAACCAAAAACATTAAAAAAAAACCAGAAAATACAAAAAGATAGGAGGAGGAAACAGGAAAAAGGGAGAAACCGGGAACCCCCGGGAAGCAATTTCTGCTGTCGCGATCAATTCAGCCGCGGCCGGACCATCATTTATTGCGGCCCACGTCCCTCGGCCACGACCAAACCGGCCTTTGCCGGGGCCACGCACACCTGACTCGCGGCTGGGCTTGGTTTTGCTCCCAGGTTTGTTTTCCCAAATTCCCGTGAACCGAAACTTCAAAATCCTGACTTATTCCGGGATTGAACCGGAAAGTTCCCGAAGCATAATTTTCGTGCTAAACACACCAAGGAAAGTCTTCTAAACTTTTAAAAATAAATTTTTCTTAAGAAAAACGCCTTTTAAAAAGAAAAAGAGGATTTAAAAGATCAAAAAAGTCTTTCTCTTTATCTTCCCCAACAAGCTTGGAGATTTTGAGAAAAGACCAGATTTCAAACTTGACACACTTGCTTGAAATTTTCGAATCTGTCTCACTTTTTTTCAAAGGAGATTCCAAATCTATCATCACATAACACTTTCACCAAAGGTATGGTACCAAATTTCTCACTTTTTCTTAAGAACTCAAACTTAGGGTTTTCTTAGAATGAATAGAAATTCACCTTAGGATGATTGGAGATTGTCTTTGAACTTAAGACTAGACTACTGGGTAGTTTAATTTCATGATTAAACACTTAGACCATAGAGATTTTAAATTTTCGAAAATCTGAGATTTGAGACTTTGAGCAAATCGAAATTTGGAGATCTGTTTGATTCAGCTTTGCAAATCTGGATTGTTTGGTTCTTGTTGATAGAAAACCAGATTAGATTACATGTGAGTGAGCATTAACATCATCTTGATTTAGAAATCTCATGTGTTGAACATCAATATATCGAACTTGACCAGAAATTCTTAGATTTTGCAATGTTTGATGCATTTACAGCTTGTTTGTCATGTGAATGTGTTTGTGATAACTCCATGAACACCTTGATCATAAAAATCGATACCAAAGCAGCTTGATTTACTCTTTGTCTCGAGAATCTCGTTTTTGCAGGTCATGAATCTCTCTCAAGTTCGACTGATTCGAACCAAGACGAGTTCTCATGCAAAAAAGCCCCATTCACAGGAGACATATGACGCATTAAACGAGACACAACTGAGTGATGACGAACCTCTATCCACCTTCATTACCGCGCAAAGAAGAATCTTTTCAGGAGAGATTGAAAGAGCCTCCACTCAGCTATCTGTACCTCGGAAAGCATGTCTTCCTCCAGGCCGAAAGTGAAGTTTGTTGGTAAAGCCATTGACCCAGACATCAACTACTTGGCGCAGCTTGAGAAGCTGAAGATCAAGCCAACTCCAGCAATAGACTACTCAGCTCTTGAGATGCTTGATATCAATATGGTATCTTGATAGGCTTGGGATGAGATCATTCATGGAGTAGAGATTTCAGACCTATAAGAGCCACACCAAGGAGTTCCTTGCATCAACAACTTTGAGCTACAAGAAGAGAGCTACTCCTAGAGCTCTAGATGGCAAACTCTCCTTCTCTATTGGAGGTCATCTCTACTCTCTTACCATCTTAGAGATATGTGATACTTTGAAGTTGCCTTATTATGATGAGATTGCATTGGAGAAGGATCCAGATGAAGATCTTTGGAAACTGATGGATTATGGAGTTTATGACAAAGGAGGTCCAAGGAATCATTACTTTCTCATCCTGTTCTCCGCTATGTGAATAAGCTACTAGCACACACTGTGTTTTCGCGAGCCAACCAAGCGAATGTCCTTAAGCCAGAGTTGGTGACACTACAGTTACCATTCGCAGATCACCCCAGGTTTCTTTGCTTTGCTTGTATCATTTCAAGGAATCTATTGAACGTTAAGCATGAGATGCTTACATCTGATTGTCAGGACTACTCACCAGCTTTTGGGAGCATCATTACTTCGCTTATGATAGCAGCAGGAGTTGATTTTTTAGCTGAGACACCTCTTAGAGAGGACTGGTTTGATATCTCCCAGTTCTCTAGAGACAAGACTATCACCAGAGCCAAGATGGACCCAGTTGAATTTGCTTACAAGTTCTGCACCAGTTCCACCGAGTACAGGGTTCTTCTACCATCGGATTCAATGCCCCGTCTCCGAGAAGGAGCAGACCCGGGATGGAAACCAGAGACTAGCGACTTCCTACCATATTTTCCACTCTTACCTCTAACCATGAAGCAATTTCTGGCTGCAAAAGCCAAGAGAGAGGTAGCTGCAAACAGCAGGAGACTTCAGCCTGCACCATCTTCATTAAGAGCCAGTTCTTCTCAGATTAGCGCATCCACTAGGAGTGATGCAGACTTTGCAGATTTTAAGAAGAAGCTTGACAAGCAAGAGAAGATCAACAGGCACATGAAGAGGCTACTGAAGAAGAACCTCCGGTTTGATGATGACTCCTCTGCCACAGTGACATATGACAGCCATGAGACATAGGCGCCTATCCATCACCACATCATACCCACGGTTCTATCACCATTTTTCTTTTCTTTTATTTTAGACGCTCTTGCTTTTATTTCACCATTTTCTCACCAACTTTTTCACACTGGGGACAGTGTGATTTAAGTCTGGGGGAGGATGTTTATCCGTACTAATCTATTTTTCTTTGTTTCTTATCTTTTTTGCAAATTTTTAAATTTGTATGCTTACTAAAAGACCTTAAGTATTTTTCAGGAATGTTTGACACAAACTATGATGAGTAAGACTCATGTGCTTCTAGACTTTACATGCTAGTTTATTTTGTGGTTAGTACTAGACTAGGCGGTAGCTAGAGTACTTGCACTACGAACTCCCACAAAAGGATTTCTATTCATTGAGACTTTTTCTGCTAGGATAGACTAGCTCATTTCACTAAAACATAATATTGACATCTAATTTTCTCATCATTGGCTTTAGCAGGCATCATGATACACATCTAGGACATCTTCACCTCATTGTTACCCGTCTTTGTTGTCCTAAATGGCCAGTTCATCTTTAGCTGGTACCACACCCTTTACCCAAAACCATCATTTCAAACTTCATGCATTCTCTCTTTAGCTCATTTGGCAGATATGTGCAAAAACGCCGGAGAGAGGAACAACATGGTTTTCAGTCACTCAAGAGAAGGACTGAAAAAATTTGGGAAAGTAGAGCATCAAGAATCTATTAAAGTAGAATGGTGCCTCAAAAAGCTTGAACTTAAAGGTACATTTCGTGCCCCTTAAGACTCTACATCCAAAGGCATTTTTCCCTTTCGAAAAGAAAAAAATGAAAGGAAAAGAAAAACAAAAAGCCTAAAAGAGTCTAGGATGGCCGAAATTATCTGAAGCAAGGGCTACAAGTATTCATTTGTGAGCATTGGTTTTAAAACCTGGACAAAAATCTAAGTCTGGGGGAGTCATGAGGAGAACCTGAAGAAAGGAGATCAAGAATCTTAAGGCAAGAAGAATATGATTGGAAACTGTGGATATCAACAGCTCCACCCTCTCTTGCTGTTTTGCATAATGTCTTGTCTTTTCAGAAAAGCTAACCCTAAACACTAAGAACCTCACCTTCTAAACAGCCATTTTGAATATCTAGCCTTGACTGCTTTACTAAAGTCTTTTTGATGAGAACCACTGGAACTTATAAATGAATGTTAAGAGCTAGTTGACTGGGAGATAGGTTTAAGTATCCAGATTTTTGCATGACGGATCAACGGACTAGTTATGCATGTGTTTTGGTGAGAATTTTTTAGACTATCCCTGATTTGAGCATAATGACTAACTTTGGTTTAGAAACATGGTCTCTAAGATTTTGTTAGTTCCTGCGATTTTCAAACCTCTTTTCCAGGTTCAGATCTTTGGTTTTGTTTGAGGACAAACAAAGGTTTAAGTCTGGGGGAGTTGATAACACCTGATTTTGACCACATTTATGAATCACTTTCAGTATCTTATGCAGGTGTTTTCACTCAGTTTTAAAGGTTTTATAAGTGTTTTCCATGTTTTGGAGTTTTTTAAAAGGCTTTTCAGGAAACTTGGAACTTTGGAATGCATTTTGGAGCAAAAGTACATTTTTGGATAAATTCAGACCATCAGAAGTTTGGCAGCCAATGAAGACCTTTTCACCGTCTGATCATCCCCAAATTTGGAGACATTATAGAGGAGACAACCAGCTTTCCAACACAGTTGGAATCAAAGCAATCCACCGGTTAGATCTCCAGATAATATCCAACGACCAATCAACACAAGTCCAGTCAAGCACGGGTGCTTTCATCCGCGGCCAGCCTTCTTCCCACCGCGGCTCAAGAGGTTTCACCTCCGGTGGACCTATGTCTGAACCTCAGAAGCCCAACTAAGGCCCAAGACACTTCCTGCACCCAATTTACAAGCCCTAGACGCCCAAGACTTGGAGAAAAACTATAAGTACTCATTTTTAGGTCTTTTGTAAGGGAGCCTCTTTCTTCTCCTTGAGAGAGAACTCATTTGTAGTTTTAGGTTTTATTTTTATGCATCTGTAGAAGCTTTTCATCGCTACTCTGTCTTCAATAAGAGAAGGTTTTCTGCAACTTTTGTTCCTTTACTTTTCTTCTTTCTAGTTCTAAACCGATGATGATGTCTATCTCAGCCATGTCAGAGTAGTCACCTAGTTGGGTGAAAGGATAATCCAAAGGGACCCCATGTTCGAATGACATCTAGGTTTTTAGGAAAAAAGATTTCGATTTTTTAAAATGATTCTCCCATTCATCCAAATCTCTAAGCGGTAATTCTGGATTGATCAACCAGAATCCGATCATAGGTTAAATCCGAGCCACGAGAGTGTTGTATCTGGGTTGCCTGAACTGGATCTTATGGACGTCACCGTCGTAGGAGACGAAAGCTACCTACGGAGGATACGTAAGCCGAGATGGATTCTGATCGATCTACAAAGCATGATTTTGTTCTGGCATGAGAGCAAGAGTTAATTGCCATGAACAAGTGATTAGATGATTAGGGTGACGAGAGTTGGCTAATCTTACATGTGTTTATCCTAGTTTCAGAGTCATAGAAAATCTTTGCCTGAATTCCTTGTGTTTTAGAACATGAACCCTATGAACCTTGAACCCAGCACCGTTTTTCATATAATTTTCAACCGATTTTTATTTCCAGCTTTTTAATTCTCTGCATAATTAGATTTAATGACAAACCAAAACCCATTTTTATTAGATTATGTTTACGATTGTTTTTAGCATCAGTTAGAAGTCCTCAACACACAAATCTCTATGGATTCGATTTTTAAGTACTACTGCGTTTGTTGTGCACTTGCAACTTGTCTAGGGTAAAACTTGTGTTGCCCACCGCACCCACATCAGTTGGCACTAACGAATGGATGTTATTTATTTGAACAAACAAATTTAACATATAATCTTTACAAAGGAATTTTGATCAAAGAGTAAAGTTAAGGCTGAAAAACAACTATACCAATACGAACTTTAATTTTTTTCTGCAGCTATTGAACACTAGCAGACAAGAGTGTAACTACCAAAATATGAAAAAAAAACGTCAAATACATTTTAAATCGAAAACTCCACAAGCTATAGGTGTATTTTGAAAGCAAATAGAAGTATCAAATTACAACACTAACAATCATGTGATAGCAGAACATACTTATAAATTTTATACAAGAAAACAATAACACAATACTAATGAAAACATATAAAATAACAATTCGAGTCCGCACAAGGTGCAAGCCAAGTTTAGATCTGAGATTTTTTCTGTCTAGTCTAATCATATACAGAACTATATTTTTAATTATTATTAATATCTAGTCAGGTATAATCTTGTTTAGTCAAACGCATACACACATTTTTTTTTGTCAACCATTTGATTTGATGAAAACCCAAGGGGCAATTACAGAGGGTGAGTTTAGCCCACAAATACATTACAAGCGCAGAGCGAATTATGATATGTATTACAAACAAAAGGCATGAAGAACACGTGTCTATACAAGTGTTGATATTGAATATACTAGGAATTGCAAGCGGTGCCGCATTGCAAGCGGTGCCGCATTGCAAGCGGTGCCGCATTGCAAGCTTCGCCGGAACCAACTTTCCGTGAAATTAATCTTCCTCCGACGACAACATCTAGCAAAAGCAACCACTTGATTGAAGATCACAACACCCTCAACTCCTTTCGCATAGATTAATGTGAGTTTGAAACAAAGATCTGTGAGCCGTCCAATCGAAAATAGCTCAGGAAGTCGTGGCAAGGCTAGATGTCAGAGCAGTCGCAAAACGCTCTTCTGTTCTGTTCTATGCCATCCAACTAGCTTCTTAAATCTCAATTCACTTGCATCCGAAGAACCTTCACCAAACACTGATATTACGGCCACCACCAGTAGGGGATGTGAAGATATGGGCTTTGGATCAATATTATTCACTTGGGCCAGAAGTTTCAGACAAAGCCATAAAGCCTAACATATATGGTTCATGTATGTCATTATGTGTTACAAGTCGGCTATGGTTTTTTTGGATATAAGAAGTCGTGAGTTGAAGCAAACCCTAAGATAGAAACTAGAGAAAAAAGAGACGTAGTACAAGCAAGAGAAACAGACGGAGAGAGAACAAAGGAGAGAGAAGAGAAAAAGGGAATCCAAGATAGCAACGAAGGAAGTTCGAGTCTTCTTTGTCGTGTGCTGTGATTCAAAGTTTCTTTTCTTCTATTGTTCTAATCTGTGACTTGTACTTGAACACAAAGAGAGCGCCGGTTAGTGCGTTTGTGTATTCTTTGATTGATAGTATAGGTTGTGGGAGACGGTTCCCACCCCAGACGTAGCGGTTCGAAGCCGTGAACTGGGTGATCAAACTTTTGTGTCATTTAAGTTTCTAATCATCTAATAGATCCTAAGATCTAAGCACTCAGGATAAGTTAAAAACCCTTACAAGTGGTATCAGAGCATCCAGGTCTGGTTGTGAGTGCTTAAGGATTAGATTAGAAACTCAATGATGACGACACAAAAGATGGAGGTGAGCATGTTCGACGGATCAGGTGATTTTGTGATCTGGAAGAAAAGGATGCTCGCGTACTTAACCGTTCAAGGTTTGAAAGATGTTCTTACGGAACCGACATCCAAAGACGTGGATGAAAAAGATCCAGAGGCAATAAAGAAAAAGAGCAAAGATGAAGCTTCCAGGCTGGAGCGAGATGAAAAGGCTTTGAATCTTATTTTCATGTGTGTTGGAGATCATGTCTTAAGGAAACTAGACAAGTGCGTAACCGCAGCTCAAGCGTGGGCTACTCTTGAGAGGCTTTACATGGCAAAGACTTTGCCTAATCGGGTCCATTTTCAGCTTAAAGTGTATTCTTTTAGAATGCAGGATTCAAGATCAATTGATCAGAATGTAGATGACTTCTTGAAGCTGATTGCAGATTTGAGCAACCTCAACATTGAGATACCAGAAGAAGTTCAAGCAATACTGCTACTCAACTCTCTTCCCCCTAGGTATGATTCTTTAAAAGATACTCTTAAGTATAGTAGGGAAGCTATTGAGTTGGAGGAAGTAGCTAGTGCTGCAAAATCTAAGGAGAGAGAGCTGGCTGAAAATGAAAAGCTTTCAAGATCAGATGGAGAAGGGTTATATGTTGAGGCTAGAGGCAGATCAGAAAAGAGGTCAGAGAATGGAAGAGGAAGGTCTAAGAGTAGAGGAAAGAAAAACAACAAAGGTTGCTTTGTTTGTGGAGATGAAGGACATTGGAAACGGGATTGTCCTCATAGAAAGAAACCTGCAGACTCTGCAAATGTTGCAACAGATTCAAAAGAACCAATGGTGTTAAGTGTCAGTTCGCAAGATACTAAGAAAGAATGGATTATGGACTCGGGATGTTCATACCATAGTACATCAGACAAAGAAGTCTTGTTTGACTTCAAGGAGTTTGATGGTGGTAAAGTTCTGATGGCTAATAACACTCATTGTGACATCAAAGGAATGGGAAGGATTCAAATTCAGAACCCAGATGGTTCTGTAGTGATACTCAAGGATGTGAAATACATACCAGAGGTGAGTAGGAATCTTATTTCTTATGGGATGTTAGAGAAATCAGGTTGCAGTTATGCAGGAGGTAACTTCAAAGTTCAGTTCTACAAAGGCAAGAAGAAGGTAATATCTGGAAAATATTAAGGTGGTTTGTATTATCTTCAAGGCACAGTTTCTAAAGTTGACGTGAACATGCCAAAAGCTGAGGTAGAAGTGAAAAAGAAGAAGTTAAAGAAGGTGACATTCAGTGAGAATCTGATTCAAGGACCTACTCCATATCGTTTTGAAACAAGAGATTTATTAGCTGAAGGTGGAGACTCTTCTTCATCAGAAGAATCTAAAAAGGTGGCTGAAATTAAGTCTAAGAAAGTTTCAAGGGATTTGCAAGAAATCAGAAGCTTTAATGAAAATCTGAGCATGGAGTTTAAGGAGAATGGCGTGGGAAAGGTTTCAGAGATATTGGGCACAGGTATTTTTGGAGGTAGAGCTAAAGGGGATCTAGTTCTATCTACGATTCAAACAAGTCAAGGCATAGCAGATGTTGTAACTGAAGCAGTACCTGGACAGAAAGCTCAGGTTTGCTGCGACCTTCTCAACCTAGTTTGAAGGGTGGTGCAGCTCCAGGTAACTCCATTATCGACAGTGTGCTCTCGCAGGAAGAAGAACATAGAAACAAGTCCATATTCGGAGATGTTCTTATGTCGATAAAATAAAATCAGTTTGATTAATGGGTTAGAGGAGTTACCTGGAGGCAGCTGGAATTACGGTGAGGACACTTTGATTCCAGGTGGAGCTGTAGACAGATTCAAGAGAATACAAGTAAGTCGTGTATGTTCTTGAATCAGGGAATAAGTCGGGAGCAAGAGTAAGAGATTTTGGTGAGAATGAGTTACATAAAATACCAGAAGGATAAGAGAACAGTGATTCTCGGAAGCAGTTACAAGAAGAAATCATAAAACAATATTATGATTTCACGGGACTCAGAAGCTATGGTGAAGAGATGTTAGCTTCAGGTGGAGTAACTGCAAAAGTGATTCATAAAAGGGTTGATTCAAAGTTCAGTGCACATGAGATGAATTAACAGGTCGACAAGGATGAATCAGAAAGATAACTCATAGACATCAAGTTGGGATTTTCAGTGTCTCGGAAATATCAGTTGATACAGAGACAAGCAAGGATAGATGGTTCAGGTCAAGAGGGTTACCTGGAATCATCGGAACAACGAACAAGACGACTTGGTTCGTTGGTGAGGTTACAAAGAGTAACAGCAAAGAGGAATCGCAAGAGATGAAATTTTTTTTTTCTAGTCTGAGAAAAATTTGCATCTAGTTTCACTATCGGAAAGAATCAAAGAGGAACTGAGGCTTTAGGGCTTGAATGGTGACGTGTGAAGGCAGTTGAAGATAGCAGAGAGTGTCGACGGCGACGACATCACCGGAAATGAAAAACCCAGGTTGATCTCTTGAAATTGCGATCGAGAGAGATGATGGGAAATTGGTGACAAGGATCGAAATTGGTTGAACCCAATGATGTCGCAAGCTTCAGAGTTTGTCAGAGGTGGTCGAGGTTTGAGAGTTCGCCGGAGTTGAAGTTGCAGAATGGGATTTGCATCTCAGGCGAAGTAGAAGCTTCGATCTCGTCATCGGGTAAAGGGAAAGGCCGCAGAGGTTTTTGCGAGGGTAATGGCGCTCAGCGACGACACAGAAATTGCGGGAGTTCGCTTCACAGTGGTGGTCGGAGATTGAAACCAGCATCGAGAAAGTAAGCTTTGCTTTTGTCGTCAATGAAGAAGAAAACGTGAAAAGAAGATGATGGGAAGGTGGGCCTTAGCAAACCAAAGCCCAAGGTGGAGATTGTGAAGATATGGGCTTTGGATCAATATTATTCACTTGGGCCAGAAGTTTCAGACAAAGCCATAAAGCCTAACATATATGGTTCACGTACGTCATTATGCGTTACAAGTCGGTTATGGTTTTTTTGGATATAAAAAGAAGTCGTGAGTTGAAGCAAACCCTAAGATAGAAACTAGAGAAAAAAGAGATGTAGTACAAGCAAGAGAAACAGACGGAGAGAGAACAAAGGAGAGAAAAGAGAAAAAGGGAATCCAAGAGAGCAACGAAGGAAGTTCGAGTCTTCTTTGTCGTGTGCTGTGATTCAAAGTTTCTTTTCTTCTATTGTTCTAATCTGTGACTTGTACTTGAACACAAAGAGAGCACCGGTTAGTGCGTTTGTGTATTCTTTGATTGATAGTGGAGGTTGTAGGAGACGGTTCCCACCCCAAACTGGGTGATTAAACTTTTGTGTCATTTAAGTTTCTAATCATCTAATAGATCTTAAGATCTAAGCACTCAGGATAAGTTAAAAACTCTTACAGGGAATGAAGAAATTACTCTCATTCTGCCAGGAATCCGAGCTGAACACGAATACGAGACATCTGATCAATACACAGTTTTTTCCTTCTGAAAAGAGCTGAAAAAGGAAACAAACATCCTAACTATACAAAAAAAAAATCTGAACGAAGTCGGAACAAAGATATCCAAACATAATTGGGACAAAAGATATCCATAATAAAACGGAATTTATTGTCCGAATTTTATCGGAAAGAACCCGATTAAAATAGGAGAATATGTTACAATAGAAAACTCATACGCCTATCTTGATTGTACACACATTTTCTCATTATTATTGTGTTGACTTTTTTTTTTACTTTTTCTGAGTAAAAGTAAGATTTCGAAAACAAAAAACGTAAGTATGGGTGACAGGGTGAGTCCTCCTACCAAAGTCTAAGTGTCTAAGATGACCGGTTAAGCTTGAACCAAGGAAAGGAAACGCTTCGACCCTAGAGGTTCACCTACGCTACAAAAGAAGATTCATTTTTGCGACTTTTATACATTATGAACCGACCAGGACGGACAGGATCGGATCACTTTAGACCGATTGAGATGCCTGTGTCTATTTTCCTCTGTCTATGAAATTAAAAGGGTCATGCTGGGATTTTCCTTTAATTAAATCAGGAAACAAACTGAAAAGCCAAAAGACGAATAGGTTTCAAAATCTCACTGGGGACATGCATTGTAACCGGAGAGAGTAAGAGCTCCGAAGTTGGTCACTGCATTGAACAATCGAGTTCCTGAATAATCAGAGATTTGAAATTCAGGCAGTCTGTCTTAAACCCTTACCAAAACCACCCAAATCAACCAGAACCCTAATCCTAATTGCCCCGAAATCGCTTCCTTCTGGACTTTCTTGTTGCTTCGGATCATCGGAAGAATATTTGTACTGAAAAATTTCTCAGTTAAAAAAATGGTAACTTTCTCTCTCATTTCTTTTTTTTGGTGTTTTGGGTTTTTGGGGTTGATGCTCGTCTCTTTTGCGACTTTGTTTCTTTATTTGTGAATTCCGATGGTTGATGTTTGGGGTTAATGTTAGTGAGATATCGCTTTGAATATTGATTCAAAACTGTGGAAAAAGAATCGATCTTTCCTCTAAAAATCCGGTTGCTTTTTCAGGTGACTGTTTGTCAGACTTGTGGCGACCGTGGTTTCGATGAGCAGCTCGTATATTGCGATTCTTGTAAGGTTGAAGCTGTGCACCGGTGAGTTTTGGTTATTGACCTGAATCGTGTTTCAAAATGCCTACAGTAGAGAAACGGATTTTGTTTTGGCTCGTCTGTGTTATTGTCTTTGTAAGTTCTCGGTGTTGTGCTTATACATCTTTGCACTTGTTTATCCAGTTACTGTTTGGGCATAACGCCTGTTCCTTTTGCGGATTACATAACTTGGTTCTGTGAGGACTGTGATGCGAGTGACAGTGGCTCTGATTGCCAAGAAGTTGATCAGACTGATACGCTTGGAGATATCTTGAAAAAGAAGGAGACGAACGCGAATGAGAGCGAAGAGAGCAGGTATCACACACCACCGGGTTTCTCTGTTGATGATCCTGAGCTCCAGGATATTAGCAATGTTGAATCTTTAGAGGTGTCTTCTCCGCCAGTTTTGCAAACAATGGAGGAGTCTGAGAGAAGAGAACGCTCAGACAGTGTAAAATCTGATGAACTGACTGGTTTAGTAAGAAATGAAGCATCTGTCTCGGAAGCCGGAAATGGAGCATCTGTCTCGGAGCAGGGTGAGAAAGAGAAGAAGAAAAAGAAGAAGAAGAAGACGACTAAGAAGAAGAAAGGAAAGAGTAATCACTCCAAGCCGATTTTATCTGTTGAGGACCATGAGCTCCCGGATGCCACCAATGTTGTACCTGTGTAGGTGTCTAAGAAGCGACAAAGCTCTGATGAATTAGTACGAAATGAAGCATCTTTCTTAGAGGCCGGAAATGGAGCATCCGTCTCGGAGCAGGGTGAGAAAAAAAAGAAGAAGAAGAAGAAGAAAAGAAAGAGCATTACTCACTCCCTGCCGAGTTTACCTGTTGAAGACCATAAGCTCCCGGATGATACCAATGTTGAACCTGTGGAGGTGTCGAAGAAGCGACAAAGGTCTGATGAATCGAACGGCTTAGTAAGAAATGAAGTATCGGTACTGGAGAAGAGGGATAAAAAGAAGAAGAAGAAGAAGAAGAAGAAGAAGAAGACGAACAAGGAGGTGAAGACGAATGAAGGGAGCAGCAATCACACATTGCCGGTTTTAGATGGTGAGAACCATGGGCTCCAGGATAACACCAAAGAAACAACGAATGACTATAAGAGATTAGATAGTGGAAAACCTCATGAATTGACTGGTTTAGCGAAAAGTGGAGCATCTGTCTCGGAGGCAGGAAATTCATCTACTGAGCCAGATCATAGTTCTTGTACCAGCAAGAAAAAAAAATTAAGTTCTGGCAACATACGGGTTACTAGTAAAGAGACACAGTTAGATGCTGAGAACAATTCTTGCAAATTGGCTGAATCAATTATGCCTCAAACTTCTGAGAAGTTGACAGCTATGGATATCAACTCTCCGGCACTCAATAATGATAGAGCACAACCAATCTGTAAACCGATATGGAGGTAAAGAAAAACAATGCTCTCTAGTTTAGACATTCATCAGTTGAATTCTGATATGTTTTTGTCAATTGCTAGGGGATCAATGTTTCTAAAAAACGGAAACAGTTGTAGCATTGATGGGCTTGTTGCTCACTTATCAACCTTAGCCTGCGGTAAAGTCCATGAGAAGGCAAGTTCATTACACGCTCTTCTCTCTGCTGAAATGTTTCCCAGGTTGGAAATATGGCCAGATAGCTTTCTGAAGGATGGACCACCTACGGATGAAAGTATCGCTCTTTACTTCTTCCCTTCCAGTGAAAGGTATATCACACACTTAAACAAAATCTCAGTGACATCTTAATTTTTCTTTTCTCGCTATGCATATGTTGTAAAAGTGTCGTCTTTTATTTTATGTTTCTGGTTTCCAGTAAGGATGAAAAGGTATACTATTCCCTTGTTGGTGAAATGAAGAAAAATGATTTGGCAATGAGATGCGTGCTTGACAATGTGGACCTTCTACTCTTCACCTCTTATCAGTTACCGATGCATTGTTGGAGTAAGTTAGATCTTTTTATCTGTAATGTCACTTTTATTTCTACTATAGTTCGTTCATTCATTATTTCGCATGAATTGTTGTGATCTAAGAAGGCTGAGTTTCGTTTGCAGCTTTTTACTCGAAGGAGTACCTGTGGGGCATTTTCAGGCGCAGAAAGATTTCTCGACGTTAGTCACTAGACTCTCACTACCTTTGACAGTTTCTGAATTGGAGCTAGGTTTAACTCACAGATGAAAAATCTTAACGAGGACTTGCAGAAACTTCCTACACCTTTTGTCTAGCACATATCTGGTTTTGGTTGTCCAAATGTTTTGAAAGTTTGCCAGCTACTGTGTAGAAGCTACCCTAGATGGCATTGTCTTTTGAGGCTATTTTTAATGGATTTGTGCAACCGGTTATTCAAATCAGTGATAACTTTGAGATCTTCTTGATTGTAGAACTTGATATTGATCCAATTGATTCAATATATCATAAAGAAGAATATTAGTTGACGGACTTGAATAGCTCAATAGAGCCTAGGAGTAGAACGAAAGATTTTGAGTGATAAAGGACACTCTAGAGGCTGATTTGCTGGTGTCATATCAATGTTTCTCCGGATCTTAAAAAGATGTATATGCAATGAAAACCTCGCCGGTTCAGTTGAATTAAGCTCGATTCGTATCTCTATTCCACTGGCTATTTTCTTTTCTGGACCTATTTATCTTTCCAAATCCAAGTCTATGTACTACTCTTAATAGAAATAAATGCCTCTAGACAAAACACAAACATATGATTCTCTAAGATAATTGTAGGTTTAATAGTAGACAGACAAATGAAAGACAATATTATGCAAACGTAATGTCACTCCTCGTCGTTATGGTGATGATCAGGTATGCACATCACCAATTGCTATCAAATATTATATAATAAAATATTATTGAATTTTTGATTTGATACAAGATCATAAAGCCATATTCCTAAATATTTTAATCCTTGTCCCAATAGTATATCTATGAGAATATTTTTCATTTGAGTTCACACACTTTATTTAATAACCGGATTTTTTTGACCCACAACAAATAACAAATAGTTCGTAAGATACATGCAAAATATTTTTAACTAGATGTTTGGTCTCTTTTGTTGCAAATCTCTGTTATATTCTATAAAAAAAATTCGTACTTTTAATTTTATACAATTTTTAGGTACTGTTCGATAGAAAATCAGGAACAAATTTTATATCCTCTCTCTGATAATCCACCTTTTCTAGATAGTGATCTATTTGATGATGAACTTAATGACCCAATTGATGATGGCAATGAGGCGATTGGGAACCAAAACATACTAAAAAAGAACATCAACTGATTAGTGAGTACAACGCAGCTCACAGATAAATATGCAATCCGCAATCCGACCACCCGTATCAAAGGATAGAGATTCTGAACTTAAGGTACATTACTTTGGTTTACTTAAACAACAAAAATACAATACTAGGGTTTACTTAAATTTGTAAACCCTAGTATCTGCAACTGATTAGTGAGTACAACGCAGCTCACAGATAAATATGCAATCCGACCACTCGTACCAAAGGATAGAGATTCTGAACCTAAGGTACACTACTTTGGTTTACTTAAACAACAAAAATACAATATGTATTTGATGTTGCTAGGGTTGATGTCGCAGGAGAAGTTTTAAATTTGTAAACCTTAGTATCTGCAAGTGCACAACAATGTGATGTAGTACTTAGGGTGTCGATCCACAGGGAAAATTGTCTTTTCTGCAAAAAATTTAAATTGGATGAGTAAACGGATTAGTAGATGAATGAGGGTTTTTGTGTCACGCAAATTGTAAAGAATGCAATGTGAAAATAAAACAAGACTAAGCTATAATAAAACGAATGTTGGACTGGCAGGGATATCGAACGTATAAATAAATTATGTATAGAGAACATATAAAGAAATTCGAAACTCTCTCTCCATGACTGTTATCGAATAAAAGATCACAAAAATATTTTTGTTTGCAAAACAAAACTCTTAAAGCGGAGATAATTATGTTCATCTAGAATAAAAAGTTCTACTACCGTGTCAAATAGTATAAATAAATATTATTGAGTTGTTAATTTGATACAAGATCTTCTTTCTTTACATGGCTTATTATTTATAATCGTCTCACAACAGGTGATCCTATACTCGCTTGGAATACGTGAGTGATGTGGTTGGAGTGGACAACTACAAGTTTTACCCTAAACAAAGCTGCAAGTGCACAACAAACGCTAGTACTTAGGGATTGAATCCATAGGGATTTGTGTGTTGAAGACTCCTAACTGATACTAAAAATAATTGTAGACCTAATAAGATTAATGGAGGTTTTGGTTGTCACTAATTCTAATAAACTAAGCAGAAAATAAAACTTGAAAGAAGTCAGTTGAAAAGCAATAGAAAAACGGCGCTGGGCTTAGGGTTTATCTCTAGGGTTCATGATAACATAAGAAATCTAGATAAGGATTTTATATGACTCTGGAACTAGAATAGTCACTCATAAGATTAGCCAACTCTCGTCACCTTAATCAGCTAATCACTCTAACTAGACAAGTAACTTTTGTTTCTTACCGCAAAAGAAATCATGCAATCTTGATCGGAATTCATTTCGGCTCACTCCCCATCCGTAGGTAGCTTTCGTCTCCTATGACAGTTACATCCATAAGATCCAGTTCAGGGAATCTGATACATCACTCTCATGGCTCTGATTCAACCTTAGATTGGACACTGGGTGATCAATCCAGCATACAACATTAAAAACGGGATGAATGGGAGAGTCATGTAAAAATCAAAATCCTTAGTCTAAGAAACCTAGATCAGTCATCGATCATTAGGTCCTTTTCGATGGCCTTTTTACCTAACAAGGTAACTACTCAGACATGGCTGAGCTTGGCATCATCATTGGTTTTAAAAACAAAAGCAATAAAGTAAAGAGATAGAAGATGAGAAAAGTTTCTCTTATTGAAGACAAGTTTGGCAAGAAAGCCTTCTACAAAAGCATAAAAGTAAAACTTAAAACTAAAATGAAGTACTCTCTCTAAAGCATGAAAGAGGCTTGATTACAAAAGACCTAAAGACAATATTTATAGTCTCTCATATCTTTTAGGCATCTAGGGTTTATAGAATAAGTGCAGGAAATGACTTGGGCCTTGGTTGGGCTTCTGAGGCTCAAAATTAATTCCACCACGGGTAAGAGAGGCTGGGACGCGGTGCAGGATGCTTTAGCCGCGGGTGAGAGCTACTTCACCTTTCCAGACTGTTGGATTGCATTGATTTCTAGTGCATTGGAAAGCTAGTTGTCTCTTCTATTATATCTCCAAATTTGGGATGATCAGACGGTGCGAAAGTCTTCATTTGTTACCAAAATTTTGACGGCCTGAATTTATCCAAAAATATATGTTTACTCCAAAATGCACTCTAAAAGTCCAAGTTTCTTGAAAGTCTTTTAAAACTCAAAAACATAGAAATCACCTATAAAAAAAACAAAAACTGAGAGAAAACACAAACATAAAACATTAAAAATGATCCATAAAAATGGTAAAAATTCGCTGTTATCAGTGAGCTAGTTCAAATTGTGTTCTATGCCAAGATCCTATGGAAATAATCAGAAAAAGAATCATTTTTTTTTTATAAATGTTATCGGCTGATCCAGTCAGCTGATGTTGGAATGCACCAAAGTGCTCAAGTACGAGTGGACTGATAACTCAGGTTCAATGGTTCAACGAACACTATAAGCTTCGAGCGGATTCGGGTCAACGGACCATGAGATCTATGAGATCCAGCGGATTACCATACTGCCTATCTCGAGTTTTGAATGTCTTCCGACTAATACCAAAGATACTCAGATGCCTGTTACTAACTACCATATAAACTGTCTGGACTTTAGGTCCAAATCCAAACTTTTTACACAAAGGTGTTTTTGTTTCTAGAGAGGATTGAACCGAGTGAAGTGATGTAACACCCCCAAACGGTCTTTCATATAACTATCACAATGATGTGGGCAATCATCTGTTTTTTCACATTTAGCTTCTCTAAAGACGTATGGACAAGTATCATGATGAGTCTTCTCTGATCCAGACTTACTAAAGATATTGGGATCGACGCTATCACTCATATCAGATACAAGCCAAGATCGAATTCAGCTATCACTCATATTTCTCATAAGGTATGTTATTCAGGAAATAATCCTTTTTCTTTGGAGAGAAAGGAACTCAAAGAGATATAGAGAAACACCAAGAATAATAGACCATCTAATCAGAATCATCAACAAACAAGTGCAAAATCGGATAATGTCAATCAGAGCTTTGGGTGATCGGAAATACGAAGGTAGTATGGGGATGTGGTTCAGTGCAAGACTAGCTATATATAAAATCTATTTAATACTCGAACTAAATGATAGTAAAAATGATTTGTGTTTGCAATATATATGAATAAATTTTACATTTATTCAAAAAAAAAAAGATTTGATACAAAATCATAAAACTCATATTTTTAATTTTTTTAATATTTATCCTAATAAAATATCTACAAAAATATTCTTGAGTTGGGTTCACGAGTTTTATTTCATTATTGGGTTCCTTTGCCACACAACACTTGAATCACAAGTTATACGTCTTGCTCTCCAAAATATCTTTGATAGTATTCCATGGATGTGAAAATTGATTCGTGCAATTATGTAAGAATTCCTCTGAAATGAGCTGATTAAAAACTATACTCTACTCATGTTCTATGATTCTATCTTGAGACCTAAAAAAATCGAAGACAAATTTCACTACATGTATTGAAACTAAAATTAACTAGCGAATGAAAAATTCTTTTAAAGTGATAAGGGTGTGTTAGATTTCGTTCATGATTAGCGTGGCTTGTGGATCCTATTTACTTTCATCGGTGCTTTGAACATTAGATAGACCAATTTAGGAGAACTGGTTATATTAAATTGAATTTGGATTTTTCAACATTCTGCTGCTCAGGTTTTTTTTATTTATATACTTTTTATTGTTATTGTTCTCGAAATATTAAGATGATTGGTTTTCAGGACTTGAAACACGTTTCTACTCTTCTTATACAAAAGAATCATGGCTCGTTCATTGCAATGAAAAACATGACTTTCCGAACTTTATGTTTGATTTTTGTTCATAATTATTTACTAGATAATAAACTGCATATATACCAGTACAGGATAAACGTTGTTATACACTGAAATTTGAAATATACAAAATAGAAAATAAATAATAAATAATAATTTAAATGTTCTTGATTCAAGTATGTTGAATTATAATTTTAAAAGTTTTTACTGAAAAGATAAATTTGTCGACCTTTCGCATTTTATGTTTCCTATGAATTTTCGTGAAAAGTAACACCTTTAATTCATTCCAAATTGAATCTGTTTCAATTAGCTATTTAC